ATTAAATATTTCATCATTGTATTTAGGGTGATTAATATATCATAATATATGTGTTGATTAAAAATTATTATCGTTTGTTGTATCTTTGCCGCAACTTTTTAATCAAGCTTTCGAAAGCTTTCTCTTCAATATTTTCATAATACACAAAAGAGAATGATATTCTATGTAAAAATGATCAAAAATTATTCAATTAATTTATACAAAAATTTTAGATTCTAATAATTTCATAAACAAATATTTGGATAATTTCTTACACAAATTTAATTTTTTCTCAAAGCATTCTTTAAAACGTAATTGAAATTCGAAACGTATATCGATACAAACAGAAGGAAACAAAAAGACTAGTTCTTTTTCTTTTTTACGGATTGAAAAAAGGAATCTGACATAAATAACAGGCTAGTTGGCGCAGTTTGCCGTATAGAAAATGCAAAAATGGAGAGCGAAAGAGAAAGAGAAAGGAAACGAAAAAAGAAAGAAAGGAAAGGACGATGATAACAGGCTGCTCGACTACTAAAATTCCCTTTGCAAATGTTCCATCGAAATAACCTCTGACGTGTAGTAGAATTTACTTTGGCCAGGTCAAGCGGTTTTCGAGCCATAGAAAAAAATTGCTCGCGGATATCTCGATCGAATAAGACCTATTGAGAATAAACCGTTTTCGTTTGATACACGAGACGATCTTTTTCACTGAGAATTTAGAGAGAAATAGAAAGTGGAAAAAGGATAGAAATTGAATTAAAAATATTCTATGAATACGACGCACTTTGATCTATGCATCTATGATCATTATAGTTATTCTTAGAATTTTAAATTTATTTCTTTCACTCGAATTTTTTATTTTCTTAAAAATTCTTGCATTATATTGCGTTACATTACATAGCAAAATTTTTAATTCAATTCAACATCGATTCCTTTCCTTTAGATATAGAATCTTTCACTTAACATAGAACGATCGATAATCGAAAATCGTTATCACGTTACACAACAATCTAATGTGTGTGCATTCACGAATCAATAGAGGAATCGAAGCTTCAAAAACGGACAAGAAAGGACAGAATTGGATCATATCCATTCGTTCGATAACCGTTCTTCTTCAACAACGTGCTCGAGGATCGAGTCGACACGATTTGAAACACGATTTCGCGATGATGGTATTGTTTTTGTATCGCGATTACAACACGGCAAAAGAATCTCCTCAACGTAATGCATTCTTGAGTGGCAATTGAGCGAAAACCTTTCGAAACCGTGCACAAACAAGGGAGCTGCTTTCGCGTTAACTCGATCGAGATCTCTCACATGTGAAAACTGTGAACCTCGAAATATCCGTCGAATATAAACGTGGGAACGATCATCGATCCTGACAGAGAGAATCTATTCGACTTGGTGGATTGGTTAATAAATTGTACCTCGATAAAGTGGAAAAACGTTCGAGATTAAATATCGGCTTTCAACAACGACGAGTAAAGTTGAAATTATTTCGCCTGTATAATTGGCAGTCTAAGGTAGATAAAATTAAAAGTTTCAAGGTATCGTTGTCGATAAGAATTATTCGTTTAGAATATTAAATTTATGTACGAGATAATGCGTAAAAATAGATATATAAATACGTAGATATATATAAATTTGTTTTGGAAAACAAATTTTGTTTTGGTTTTATCGCCAAACCAGATTTACGATATGTAAAATTTTCAAAGTATAAATAAACGGAAGACACTCCTTATCAGTTTCAACGCGTCACATCGATACTTGAAACGCGGGTCCGCTTCATAAATTCTCTTAATAGAATTACATTTAACGGGCCACTATTATTTTCCTTGCCGAATAAGCAAATTTGGCACGTACCCGGTGGCTCGCTGGCCATTTTCGGCTGACAGAAACACAGAAGGTGTAAAAGCCAGTGGTGTCCAATTAGCGGTGTGCACCGTTGCCCGGCCCTAATTCACCGAATCCCGTTCTATCTCCGTTTGCCCGTCCATTTCTCGGTGAATTCGCGTGCGAACGGGAAGCCTCGAACACCCCGGTTCGAAACGAGGGATCAAAAATCATAAGCCACTGCTTGCCCTGCACATGATCTTTCTTCTCCCCCTCTTTTTTTTATTCTCTCCTTTCAATCTTTGTTGCGAACGTTGAACAGAGAAAAGTACACGGTTAGTTATTCCGACAAGCGATCCTTTGGCGCGGTATGCAGACGAATGTTGTTTATGGAAATTTCGCTCGCGAGTATTTGCGTAGAAAAACAATTGGATCGATCGAGGGGTCTGTTTGCTTTGGCGCAATCAATTTGATGGGATGTGTTACCCATCGAGTGTCGGACCGCGATACTCGAAGTGGAACTTTATTTTTAGGGGAGGAGGAATATTTGTTCGAAGCTGTTACAATATTCGAAACAATATTTCTTCTTCCTTTTTTATTGAGAAAAGAAAAAATTATTCGAAGTTAATAATATTGCAAATCTTCGATCCAACTTCTCACGAGTTTCCAACTCTTGAACGAGTAAGAGTTATTTCAACTTGGGCAGCTAAAAATCGTCTCTCTCGTATCATAGATATGGATAGAATCTTTTAAATAATTCATGATATTTCAGAGAATTTTTGAAATTCGTTTATTTCGCGGTTTTCTTAGAAAGCAGATTTTTATAAAAAGCAGATATTTCGTCATAACAATATAGAAAGAAAAAGGAAAACACGCGCGGCGAAATCGTACTTCACCCCGTCGAAATACTTGGCAAAATCTCGTTTCACCAACGTTTCACGAATCGCCAACGTTTTGGCAAACGCTGGAGATCGATATTTCCGGCAACCCTTCTATTTTTCAACGCCCTACCAAGCAACCTCCCTCCTCTCCGATACGAGCACTCGGAATTTCGGATAACGACGCGGATGGCCCGTAAAAAGATGGCCACGGCATCGAACCACGTTCCACCGTCTCTCTCTCTCTCTCTCTCTCTCTCTCTCTCTCTCTCTCTCTCTCGCTCACTCGTGACGATAACCCTTAGCTTCTTGCCGCGAAATTTATTTTTCACGCGGATGGGGTGGCCGTGGAACGGCGAATACGTGACGGCTCCTGGTTGGGAATGGAGAGAGAACAGCGTGGCAATAACCATCGTTCGCATTTCAAACGAATCATCGGCGGAACGAGGGTCAATGTCTAAACCCCTTATTGAGCCTCGTCTCTTGCGAGCCAGCTTGGGAGTTTCATAAAAAGAAATGTTATCTTCGAGGATATTGATACGGGTTATAAAGAATTTTATAGGGTGGATTTGATATTGAAAAGTTAAGATATTGGATTAATAAAGGAATCGATGGATTTTATTTAAATATTTATTTGCTTCGTCGATCATTGGGATAAGTAGATAATTTCATCGCGTGAAATGTCTATTGTTTCAAGCTCGAAAAATGGGGAGAGAGAATTATGAAAGGAATTGTTTTGTAATAATGCAAGAAATATTGTAAAATTGTTAGAGGTGTAACGTTCTATTATTCATCAATTTTTGCAAAAATAATCAAGGAACGATCACGATGAACATCTAATCCATTTTATATAAATAGAACATAAGAATTTCGATAGATTGGAATATTTGGAAAAAATCAGGAAGGATAAAAACTTCACCGGAAATTACCTTCTCGTGGAGACAAGCTTCCAGTTCATGTAAGTCATCTCTCTGTGTAAGAAGATACCAATAGAAAGCCAATATATATGTACAACCAGTTTGATAAATCGGAAAGATTTATTATTGCCACTAGAATACGCATAACATCCAATCCATTTTTATGGAATAAAATTCAAAGATTATTAAAAACATTAAACGTAGAATAATACTAAGTTAGATAATATTAAATATTATCCTATTTGCATCAGCCTGATCAATTTCTCGGTCTGCTTGATACAAGATTGGAATTGTAGATAAATGAAATCCCATGAATCTGGGAAACTCATAGACAGAAACTCTTCATCTCTACTTGATATCACAATGATTCTACTAATTCATAATAAATTTATTCTTACAATTTATATTATAATTTGTAATACTTTAATTACAAATTGATATCAATCAATTAGAAATCTAATAAATTTTACAATCCTTTATCCATATATTTAGTATCAATTTTCAATTTTATGTATTCTTTTAAGATAAAATAATTCGTGCTCGAAAATCAAATTCATGTAAAACACATGAATCACGTAAAACACGCCTAAAAATCTCTGATTATCTTTCTTTATCTTTTTTTTTTTTTTTGTACAATTATTTTAGTTTTAGCAGGGCTTTAAATCCATCGGCCCGAGAGACTATTTCCCCTCAAGTTCACTGTACTCCATAAACTTTCAATGTCGATAAGTCATCCCCTGATCGAACGAGAAAACTCATAAATTGTTCGCTGCATCAGCCTCGTGAATGTTTCACGACCGGAAATTCATTGCCAGCGCGAGTCCGGTTAAATATATCGGTGTTTCCCCATCGAAAACGTATACGTATATGTATATGATTATATCGAGAAACGAAGTTCGATTCGACGAAAAGCATTAACTCTTTCGTTATGAATTTAAATGGAACGAAAGTAAGGTTGATTTAAACGAAATTGGCTTAAACACTGTACGAAACATTGCTCGAAATTATAAATGAAATTGACGATGTAGGTTAATGGAAATATCGTGACTCATTTTACAAGAGATAAACAGCGACTGCTGGCAATTTAGATATTAGATAAATCATTTGTATAATTGAAAAACAAAGGAAATAACATAAATTACATAAATCGTTCGGCTTGTTTTTCCTACGATATCGCTTTATCTTGGACAAACTTTTCGATCGAAAATTTAAAAAGAAAAAACAAGTCCTGCTCTCCCTGTGTTTGTACAATTTTTTTCCCGTGCAAGAATTACAGAAATCAAATGAGAACATCTGAAATGATTTTCTAATCGAACATTGTCCTACTTCTAATGCGTAATTTTTTAGACAATGACTCTATAAATCTATCTAACCTATTCGTTTCTGATTGCAGCTGGTAGGCGGCGAATTCGACATGGAACTGAACTTCGTGATTCAGGACGCACAGAACATCAGGCATATGCTGGAACTGCTCGATCATTGCCCGCCCAATCTCCAGGTAAGCAAAGGGTGTTACGTCCGCCCCGATCAAACTAATTATCCAAGAGGGTTGGGGTGTTATATCAGGCCGCAAATTTGATTCTCATGAAGGAGAACACGATCACTGCGATCAATACGTTAAACGTGGCCGTAATTAATTTCTTGCTCGAGCGCTTAATGTAATGTAACCTTTTCTTCCCGTCACAGTTCACAATTCATATTTAAGACCAGACAAATTAATTTCATATGCATTCATTACCGCGTACAACTGACAAAGTTTGGCATTAATACTTAGGAGGAAGTTTAAAGGAAAATATATTACGTAAAAATCAAACAATAATCTAGAGAGTTAATCTAGAAAGTTTTCGTTTCGTTTAATCTGGAAAGTTTGTTTCATCACGAAGATTTCATTTAACACAAAAATACATCAAATTCAAATTCTCGCGTGTATAATTATCTACGCAAAATCTGTCTACAAACATTTGCTACGCGAAAAGCAATTCTCATCCGCAACACACGATGGAAGAAATATTGATTCTCGTCCGAATTCGAAACGCGAGAATCGTTCTCTGCGAATCATGGCACGTGTCGAGATCGTGAAAAACGCGATCACGAGATCTTCGAACTCGTCCCATTCCGTTTTTTGTATAAAGAAAGTGGACGGACGAAGCAAAGGATACGTAAGAGGCAAGAAAGTTTCGTAATTCACAAAGAAAAAGCCATTTTCCCATTCCTCGGCGGACCGGTAAACTTGCACGAGGTGTTCGCGTCGCGGCCAGGAAGTTTTCGTGTAAAAGTAAATAGAAATTTAAACTGTGTACACGGAACAAAGTTATGAGAAGCTTGTTCACTCGTTTCTAGCATCCTTTGATCGCGTGTTCCGCGTTAAACGCCGGTGGAAAATGTTGTTCGGCAAAGTTCACAATGGAGGTTAATTTTGTTGTTCGTGGGGAGGAGTTTTAAAAACGAGCAATTAGCCTTTCCAATTGTTTGAAATAATTGTACAAGTTAAAGTTTCTTTCCAATTATTACGAATTTATTGTTTTTCCTTTTGTGAGAATGTTTAGAATGTTTATTTATACATCGGAATATTTTATACCAGTATTTCAGCATTGAGGAGCTTTCTCGCCCTAAAGAGATGGAAATTTGAACGAGATGGAAATTTTATTTAAAAAAGAGAGGATTAGTTTGATATTATTCTATACTACTTGCCTGACCATGACGGGCCGTATAATGTTTCTCTCGTCATGTTTTACAATGTGCATTTACATTACATTTGAATAAATAAAAGTTCTATTCCTCTTTCTCTCTCTCGCCTCGACCATGACGGGCATATACCACTTGTCTCGTCATGGCTGTCTTACTACTAGTTGCCTGACTCTACTACTAACCGTACCACGATTGCATTATACTACTTGCCCGATTATAACGATCACGTACCACTCGCCTCACCGTGACGGCCAACTATACACTTGTCACGCCACGGCTGTGTTATTCTATTTATCCGAACATAATGGCCCTATTGTATTTATCCAATCATGACGGGCATATATTATTTGTTCGCCATAATTGATTTATCTCATTCGCTTAATTGTTATCAATCTTGTTGTTATCAATCTAATTGATAATTGATCACGATCATATATCTTTATCTATAATTTGTAATATCATTGTTGCATCATTGTTGAATTAAAAATTTCTATTATAATTAAAAATATTCTGATTAACGATATTTATATATGAACGAATAAGAAACGGATATTAAAATAATTATAATTGAAATAATTTAATAATTCAAGATATTATGTTCGATATATCGAGATTAATTAGAAATCATTTATCGAGAAAAATAGATATCTAGATATTTTTCCAGAAAGCTCCTCAATCGATCTTCACAAAAATTATATTATTACTCGATGATTTAATTCGAATAGAAAGTGAAACCAAAAAAGAAATGTATTTTTATACACGTTCGTTTTTAAACACGTCGATACCGTCCATTAGCACGAGTAATTCAATGATACTTGCTTTTACATCATTTGACACGATTTGCCATTTCAATCTACATAATCGAATAATCGATAATCAGAGAATCGCTTTCCGTAATTTATGTACGATATATATGTATATATAGACTTGTTTAATTGATATTTTACAATACAATTGAATGTATTATATAGTAATGTATTATATAGGATATAATCTTTCTAATGGCCGGTCCATTTTTTTCTCATTTTATTTTACATTAATTTTAATGCACGATCCATTCATACGTTAAATTTACGTGTATATTTCATCCATCTGTGTGTTAACATCTGAGTGCATTGATAAAAGGGGACAAAATATTCGCGGTATTATCAACACCAGAAGAATTGCAATTCAATAAATTATTCTAATTTTTAGAAGAAAACATCCTAAAACGTTCTATTAACTTGTTGCTACGAATCTGCGTCAATAGAAAGATGATAGCCTTGCTAATACGAAACCACAATATGAATTTGCCGTATCATCTTGATAGGATAGCCTGTGGCTGATATAATCTGTTGGAGATTGGTTTCTGGTGTCCTCAGAATCCGGTTCGAGCACATCTCTGAAATGTTAATACGGTTAAGGGAGTTTCCACGTCGATGTCTTCGACCATACATGCTTACTTCCTACGTGCATACGGGTATCGTACATGTATACAGAAAATAAAACACGTATATACGAACAAATAGAAAGCTCATCCACTCATTGAAATCTAAATCACACACGATGGAATGCATAATTAGAATATACTTTTTTTTTTATAAAATAATCTAAGGATATTGTGAATTTACAAATTGTTAATTCTTCGTAAATGATTCTCTATAAAAAATACACAATGTGGAAATAATTGAAAATTTCAATATTTCTCGCTGAATTTTAAACAAGACATATTTCTTTATATTTTCCTTTATATAATTGTAATTCTTTGAATTTATATATGTAAAAAAGCTTAGAAAAAAATTCTGAATCAAAATTTTGAATGATTTCAGAAATCAAAACTTGTTCAGCATCAAACTCTATCAAACCAGAGAAAATTGGTATTAATTTCAAAATGATAAGGAACTTAATAGGAGATTCAATATTAGCATACCAAACGTAACTAGACAAATTTTAATATTGACGTAATATAGAAATCTTCCAAGTTTGTTTATCTTCTTTAATTCTTCCCCAATGCACGATTTAGAAATAAAACGAATATTCTTGGAACATTCTCTTCTTCTTTTTTTTTTTATCAAACAACAATAACTAAAAGAAAGATGAAACCCTTCGACAAAATCAATGGAAACCAAAGCTAAACGGACAAAGAATAAACCGACAATAAACAAGCAACAATAAGTCTTTGCGCAACTCGAATATCGAGAAAGAAGAGAGAATAAATCGTTTCAATAATTTCTATTCGAGGTTTCCTTGCCTCTTTGTGCCAATTTACGGTCAACTATTCTTTATCTCAGAGGCAGAGGTTGAACGTTCCTCGAAAGGAGATACCGGCCCGATTGAGAAATACACAATTAAATCTCGAGTATATTTCTTCGTTATTTACCTCGTGGCGATATCTTCAAAGGGGCAATTAAAATGGATGAGACATCTTCGAGTTGCGGCTCGAAGAAATTCTTCCCAGAGGAGAAGAAAATATCGATGGACTGTAAACTCAAAAAAAAAAAAAAATCAACAAAAATAAACAACTGAAATGTCGCATTGAATCTTTTCATAATCTGATAAAATTCCAATCGAATTCGCTCTGCCCGTTATCACGTGATTGCCTACTCGAAACCAGAATTGGTGTAAACGTATGCAACTCGTTACAAAACCTATCCCAGTTTTAACATGCATTATCTCTTTATACGATGTTATATATATTAGTATATATATTGAATTGGAAATTTTCTGGTCTTAGTTGGATAGCGTTGAGATCTCACTGAAGTTTTGATATCGAGATTTTTAAAGGTTGGTTTAAATTGCATTAGTTATACATGTATACATGCGTTTTGATGTTACATGGAACGAATTGCATACGAATTTATATGCATAAAACAACAGAATATTCGAATTTGAAATTATTCTATTGTAAGGCAAAGTATTCGAATATTTAATCGATTAAAATTCAATCAAATCAACATTCGAATTTTTCAAATTGTACAAGTTCAAATCGAAATTCAAAATTTTAATTCGAATTCAAATTTTCCAATAAAGACTTTCTATTTCAATTTCTCAAATTCCTTACTCGAAATTCTTTCGTTTGAATTCAAATTTTTCGATTCAAATTTAAATTTTCCCATTCGAATTCAAATTTTCCAATAAAGATTGAAATTCAAATTTTCCGATCGAATTTAAATTTTTCTTTTTCGAATTCAATAATTTTCAATAATTTTTACATTCTTTTCCAAGCTTAAACTACGCTCTAATCATTCATTCAAGTCAAATAATAAACCTCTAACGATTTTAGAATTTTTTAACATGCATTTTACAACAAATTCTTATCCTTTTTTTTTTTTGAAAAAATCGAATATTGGACATAAAATTCGTAACAAATTTCCATGTATCAATCCTCGAAGGAACGATATATTCCATAAACATCAACCGGTATCACATTTCAGATACGAATAAAATTGCATGAAGATAATACAGAGGATTGTCATTCCATATAAGTCGATCTCAATTAATTACCATGTCTGGCAACATTGATACAGCTAGCGGTTAACCGTATTTCCGGAGGAACTACTTCAGATACAGCGAGTTACCGGTGTCGTATCGATGAAATGTAAATTTGGATAACTGCTTGCAAACGTCATTCACGCTGGTGCAACGTGCACACCGCTCGCCTATCTCATGCATATGCCTCTGGTAAACTATGCTATCGCTTTCTCCCGTTATATTCGCTTTTAAGGAATAAATGTAACACGTGTTTGCGAGCCCGGGGCACGAAACGGGGCGAGTTGTAGCGAATTTACAAGTGTGTGTATCGGATACACGCAAATTTTGCGTGCCACGACA